AATTTCCAACACGTTGCTGAAAGCTTAATAGTTATCAGAATATTTTTAGCATCTGTGTCTAATTTTTTATATGTGCCATCCTGTGAATGTTGGAAAAGTATGATTTTTCATTCCTTTGTGTGACCGCTGCGATGGAAAATAGAAGAAAGGTTTAGGAGGATTTGTTAAGATTGATTTACGTTATTGTTATTAACGCCCAGTTGAAATGTAAATCAACTAAAATTTTTCAAAGAATGAACAAATGTTTGAAAGCTCAAATCGAAACTGACATCATCTCTTCACGGATAATAAAAATTCTGCATTATCAGGATGCACTTTAACAGCAAATCGAACAGGCACCCAAACTCGAAAACGTTGCTATCCAAGCATCGGGAAATCATTTTTCCGACCATAAGAACACGAAGCCCTTGGAGTTTAGTACTGCACTTTAAAAATAATCGAAACTCTCCTCCTGTCCACTTTCCACTCAAAACGATACAAACGGAAATCAGAAATCGCAATCGTGCTTAAAGGAAGTAAGTGCTGGAAAATACACGGCCCTTTGACAGAGATAATCTCATAACGCCTTGTCGATTCCAGGTGGCTTCAGACTCTTACACGTGTATCCTTCCAGATACAAATTCCATTTTAACGTGGTTCTGTCTGACAGGACCCTTCTTTTTATTATTGCATGAATGGCTTTATTTTTTGGTCGTTTCACTCGATATTCTTCGGCCAAGTCCTGAAACTGACCGGATTTGATGTATCACCTAAGAACATCGCTTCGCTCGATTTACTATTTAATTTAGGGGGAAGAAATGTCAGCATTTGCCCAACGGGAGTGACAATGATTGAAAGGAAATTGAATTTACTCTTTAAGAGAGAAGACAAAAAAATGACCAGACATATCGATATTTTATTGGTAAAAAACTGAAGCCTCGTGTCACACGGTAACAAGATAGGACAACTATTAATTTTAATCAACTTTGGCTGCAAAGTACCATTTGTAGTATACGAGAAACATTCTGTATTATTTTTTGAATTCGTTTTAAATGATCTCTAGTTTCTTACACTGAATTACTGATAAATATTTTGTTGTTATACACTGCGCCGCAAATTTATTTAACTCGTTGCGTAAATATTTCCTAACTTTTGACTGTGAGTATTTTCTGAATTCCAGTCCCGATCTGAACAATGTCTCGATCGACTCAAAGCACAAAATTTAAGTTATAAGATAAGCAAAAAAATGCCATAAACATTCCAAAATTCGTCTGCGGGCAATACCTGGCAGCTCAAACAGAAAAACGTATATCACTTTATAGCCCAATGTCTTCTGATACATTTTTAACAACAAAATAATTTTATTACAAAATTAGTGCTATCTAGTCTGTTAAGTAAAATTTTATTGATTAATTTGACAGTTTTAAAAACAATTATTTTCAAATTAATACAAACAATACAGATTTTACTTGTAACCGAACCTTAACTATGACTTAGGACTCTTACACCGTTTATCTTAAGACTATCTGAGATTCAATTCTTATGACTGACTTCTGACCAAACATCTTATGCCCAAATGTTAGTTTCTGATGTGGCTTCTTTTATGCTTAAATCATGCTGATCATAGCAGAAACGATGTCTTATTTTTAAATAGTCGGCATAAGTGGCCATATAACTGTATGTAACTCCATAGAAAACAAAACAAAAAATCCTTAGCCGTGAAAACAAGAGCACATTATCCTTAGCAAAATGAAAATTTTAACAACTTAGTGCCAGAACACAGAGGGGGACAAAATAAACAGAGCTGTTAATTTGGAACGAAATGTGTGCACAGCCTTTCTGCCAGAAATTTTTTCCGCAAATAAAACAAAAAGTTTCGATAAATTAAAATTTAGTAATATTAAATTTTAATTTGATATAAATTTCAATTCATTTTTCCAATGGCTCAGGATATATAGATTGTTACAGATCCGCTCAGAGGATGAGACTGTGTTTGTTAATTTCTCGGCTTATCGTGAAACGTAAATTTAGTGCAAAAGTAAAGCCACGGTTCGATAAAAAATTGTTTACAAATCGGATAACCGACTGGAAAAATTGAAAGTTGAAAGTTAGGAAAAATCGGAAGGTATATTCGATTTCTTTGGATTGGAACTACTCTTTCGTTCTTCAGCATCTTGATGATGGAAATTACTACTATTCGTAACATTTGCAGTACAATTTCTACAACACTAGAAGTTCCTTCTTACAACTAACCATAGTATTGAATCTATGTAGAACAGCAGTTAATATTTGTGATACAACCCTCTAATGGAACAATTATTTATCTACTTTTCTATAGCTTAATATCCGGGCAAAGCTTTTAATAAAACAAAGTAATCTATTTATTAGAGAGGTTGAGAACAGCAACTTTAAACTTAACTCAACATTTTGACGGGAAATAAATTAATTTTCAGTTCTCTCGTTCAGTTTTGTTTCGATTTAGTGAAAGTTTATTCGGGAGTTCGTTATAAACGCAATGAATCCTGAATTTGACAGCCTACCAACTCCTCGAGATACAACAACGAACATTCTGGAAACATTACCGAGCCTATACCGTAGACAAATTGCCAAGAATGATTTTGGAACAAGCCCCGTCTTTGTTGAAAGGGTGTTGTTTCATTATTCTTGTTAATTATTTTCTATTGTGAGAATGTTAATTACTTTATTTTATGAAAGGAGATCTTGTAAATGATTTGAATTAGTTGCTCTTCGCTAAATGTTCGAATAATGGAAAATGTTCAATTTCTGCTTTGACACTATGTGGATTTACAATTAAAATATGCTCAATTCTATGATAACAAATGATGGGAAAACTCGAGATATTACGAAAAAAACAGGCTGCTCCACTGATGTTACAATAATTGTATTATACCCGGTCAGTGCTCAATCCATTACAAGCAAAAGCATTATTCAATGTTTTTTGTACGTACAGCGCATCAGTTCCGAGTAAAAAAATAAAACTCGTATTAATGAACGTCTATTTAATTCGACCAGTAAGTACTTTCAAAATTCTGGAACAATTTCGCTTAAATTTTTTGGTGCAACTGACTGCGCCAATTATGAATCATCAATTTTTCCGCAGTATGCAACTATCGGTATCGTATGCACATTAATCAATCGACAATAATTTTAAATGAAGGTTTGCATTAACACGAGTTTCAATTTTTTACCTGCAAAAATCCCAAGAGAGGTTTTTGTTGGGAATTGAGACAGACTTTATTAATACATTTTCAAATTTTTTTTCCAGAAAACTTAAAGACGTTATACTTTAGTAACAATAAATTCTCTTAAGACCACACATTTATTAGAACTTTTCATTGTAAAATAATACCAAGAATCACCTTCTTGTTTGTTTCATTCTTCTTCTTGTCAGAGTATTTGTCAATCACCCTATATGTGTATTTCTACATTTTGAATAAAATATCATGTACATTTTTACTTCATACTTCTTTGTGCAAATTCTATATTTTAACATACATTTTCTCCTTTCCCACCTAGCAAAGCAACTCGGTAGCAAAACCATTTGCTGCAAAATTATGTTTTATTTAAACAGTGATTTCAATTGGAGCCACAGGCTAAAAGTTTGACTCATAATTTCCCTTATAAACCGATATTTTAGCATATTTAATTGGAAACGAGGAAGCAATTAGATTTTAATAATGCGGAAGCTTATAGTTAGATGTTTTGAGTTCAATTAATTGGGTTTAATGGAAGAAGCCCTTAAGAAATACTGCTCAGAAATATATTCGAAATTACCGAAAATTGATATTATAGTTCTCTAGCAAATGTACAGCAAATTATCAGATTTATTTCAACTAAAAAATAGGAAAATACAATTTCATTTGTGATAAAAATAAAAAGGTTTTTTCTGCTAATTTGCAAAAAATCGATTGGTATTAATAAGTATTTGTTTTAATCGTTTTATAGGTAGAAATTTATAGGTTTTATTTTGTGTATTTGCAAACTGTGTGGGTTTATTTCTAGACTAACGTTCATTTGTAGTTAGTCTTTTGTAAAATCTTGTGCTTGAAAAGCTACTCAAAATCAAAAGATAAAAACAAAATCTTCTATAATTTTTCAGATTCAGATTAGATTTAATTGTTGCAACTCACAGCAATAAAACGTGTATATAGTTTTTCGAATAAACTTCTAGGACATAAATATTACATTTCTGGATTTATCTTTTTAGTAATAATATTAATTAAACGAAATATAAAAAATGCACATAGAAATCAAACGCTAAACAAAGCAAAAAATTAGAAATTGGTTTCATTAACATTAAGTTTTTAATGTGTAATTTTTACATTCGAGTAATTAACCAACCAGATTTTATTTTAGTACTATTTTACTATCAATTAGGCTTTTTATTAGTCGCTTGCGAAATTTCATCCAGAAATGCGACCCTCAAGATTTTAACAAAACTTTAACTCAAAACACTTTACGTGTAAAATATCCACAAAAATTTAAATTCTCTCAAAGATGCAACTTGGCATGTGCTCTTTGGCTTCACCTACTTAGCATTACTCAATTTCCGACTAAATCCGGTAAACTATAAGATCCCTAGTTGCAAATCCAGCCGGTGAAAACTTAAAATCCTGGAACCGTTTTTCTGTAACATCTGTTAGCATTTACGTGTGCTGAAAATGCGGTAAAAGCGCTTTTCGAATTGAACTATCAATACGTTTCCATCGATGCTTTTAGAAGGAATTAGGGAATCTCAAAAATGGCTAAGCTTTTAACAATATTACTTTTACAGATTAACCCTGAATACAAAAAATAGTTAAAAATGGTTTAATTTTTAAGCCAGTGCTCTAATGAGAAACCTTTGATAAAATTATGTTGTACTTGTATTTTTGTAAGGTTGGAAATTCACGAATTTAAGGCGATTCTCGAACAAAATTGTTTAAAGGCGTAAAAGTAAACTACGTTAATTTCACAATACTGTTAATTACATTGTATATTAATTTAAAATGTGCACTCACCCACGGTATGTAACACTCCAAAATCTGAAACAAAGATATCAAAATTAATATTTAGTTCTTCTTCAAAACAGCAAGCATACAATCTCGAATTACTTCAAATTTAAAAATATCGAACAATTAATTGCCATTTTTGAGTTTTTCGAATTTCCAAGTCCGATTTTTTTCTAGTTTGAAAGAAAATTTTATTAATTTTAAGCTACAAACTCACAAGCAAAATTATTACAGAGCGAACAGATAACCGAAAGCAAATAACCGAAATAAGTATTCGAATGTAGAATGGGTCGTGTTTTTTTAGGTAACTACTGAAAAATTTCATTTTACAATTTTGCCTTCTAATACTGCTGGGTTCAATACAGGAATCTCATACCATGGCCCTTTCCATGTTCGCGATAGCTTTGATATTTAAAAAATTCAGCTGGGTTTACCTGCAAATATTGCCGATGACTAGAGGACCATTTTTGGTGATGGATGAAATAACTTTTTTGCCTAGTTTTGTCGATTTTTATTATGATTTTATAGTTTGTATTTGTATGGAAAATATTGAAGTCTGATTTAATAGTACAATTTTTCATCAATATTAATACACGATTCGACTCACAATTACGAAACGTATGACACACCGTTTCTTTCAGTAACAACTGCATGGACTAATTCCACATTATTAATCTCCGAAAATAGAAAAGCAAATTAATAAATTGAATAAACAATCCAATTATTCCCGGTTTTTGTCTGTGTTAAATTATCATCAATTCATCCAGCTCGGTTTTCAAGTATTAATATGTTTAATTAATAATTTTCATTTCTTGGAAATCTTAGTGCCGCCTAGGTCCAAATCTAATGAACGTCTGAGTGGAGTATTAATAACTCTGCCGGAAAATATTTACCTACACAGTTTCAGATATTATACACACTTTCCAGTATTAAATTTCGACGAAAACCAGCAATAAGATCTAAGAATTTCGTAATTTAATTTTCTGACATTGTGCAAACGTTTCATGCCTGGAAATTCATATCTACAGGAACATTTATTTCGCCTATTTCCTATACTGTAGTTTTTTGTTGTTCTGCTCTAATTCAGTCAGCTATAATTGAATCGAAGTGTTATGAAACTTATTAGAGCATGAAAGCGTTTCTTAGGAAAAATATTACTAAAAATAGAAATGTGAACTTACAATGTAACAGTTAATCTGATGTAAGTGTATAAAATAAATTCGTCTAAAACACAAATTAATTCTAGCTTCATAGAGTATTTCCTATACTGTAGTTTTTTGTTGTTTTGCTCTAATTCAGTCAGCTATAATTGAATCGAAGTGTTATGAAATTTATTAGAGCATGAAAGCGTTTCTTAGGAAAAATATTAATAAAAATAGAAATGTGAACTTACAATGTAAAAATTTATCTGATTTAAGTGTCTAAAATAAATTCGTGTAAAACACAAATTAAGTCTAGCTTCATGGAGTTTTCTACTGCCCTGGATGTTGCAAATTTAATTTTTCATAACTTTACTTAGAAGTAACTGAGATAACCCAAGAATAAGTTGGATAAATTGATATAAAACAAAGCAGTTTGGAAAATATCAGCAGCCATTTATAGTCACACAAATTTTGGTTTCAGGCCCTGAAGGCTTCGATTAGTGAAATATATTAAGACAGTCGATTGAAATTAACGGATTCCACTTCAAGCCAGCCAACTTTCAATTCTCTTGTCTAATTACATTCAAAATTCAGACTGAAATATAGGAAAATTCGCGTTTTAATCACCAAATATCCGCCCAAAAGCTGCACATTTACCTACTAGAACATTCGGTGAATTTGCAATAAAATTTTCTGCTTCTATTCATGGAAGAAATAGAGTTTCTGACCTAATAACTCATAGAGGAACAATGAGAGGAAAGTTCAGTGTTTGGTCATGAGCCTAACGGCAGTTTCAATTGAATGCAATTCAATTATCCGAAAGGGCTTGCAGCTTCTTTCATGTCAGCCTAAAGTTGGCAAAAGCAATTAAAACCGGTGATAATTCTCATTAACTGCTTGACTGCACACAAAACGCTGATTAGTCAAGAACCAGTCAGTTAAATCTTGTAAAATCTGTCAATAATTGCATTAAAACGACAGTGTCGTTTCAACAACATATGCAAATCTCTGTTCAGCTCATGGCGGGGAAAACTAAATCCAGATAACTGAATTTTAGCCCGAGTCGAATCCGGCCGTCATCCATCCCAAGAGTATAATCAATGAGTATCAAGAAGGGCGCAGATGGAATATAAATGGGATGGAATAACCGTGTTTGTTGAGCGTATTATAATTTAGTGGGTAATGTTAATGTATACAATACGGAAATATTGTTTGCTCTAACGGAAGTATTGAGAATGTTTACTTTAGATATTTGAGCGATTGAAGGTCTTCCTTAATGCAGATCTGCGGCGAGAACTACGAGGTAAACAAAACCTCGAGGTTCTCTCGATCAGGATTTTAATTGCGGCAGCCACTAAAATTACAATTTCTGTTGGTATGGATTTGAAACTGATGGGTTTCTGGAAGTTATGTCTAACGTTTCGCAACCACTAGCGCTTAACATCTTCCGGAGTGGATTGCTAGGGGCAGCCACCAACTCTGAAACTGGTGAGTTTTTCAAATGCCAAGCACTCTTACTTGCGAAATGTTACGAAGAAGTCGTCGGTAAGTGGAGTTAGTCTAATTGATCTTTTTGTTATTCTGGAAGTCTGGAGATCAGTTCTCTTTTAGAGAACTGAACAAAGTTTATTGCATATAAATCTCGAGTCAAGTCAAGAAAAAAGTGTATCCAGAAACAAAGAATGTTACCGAATCCTTAACTGTTTCTTTCAACCACAATGTTTGTATACCAGCGGTAAGATCCTATCTTCTAAGATAGGAAACTTTGAACACAAAGTTAAGTATGTAACTCCGTTTTTTTGGGTTTTTTTGGCAAAGATCAATTTGATGCCTTTATCTCTGCCATATACAGTCTGCGTATAAAGTAAGACGAATAGGTTGGATACATTGATATAAAACAAAGCAGTTTGGAAAATATCGTAAAAATGGAACGTAATGAAGGTAGCGGAAACAAAATAAGGAAAATCCTGCAAAATCGTTCAACATCAATAACTAAACATAAATTTACAAACTCATACAACGGTTTATCCGAAATTTAATGTGCAAATGGACGACTTTCCTTACATGTTTCTAGCCATTTGTCTTGTCGGTATTATCGGGCACCAGAAAAGTTGGTGGGGTGTGCTGTTTTATAAAGTCTGAAGTTTGTAAAAATCTTTGAAGCTGTTTCGTTTTGTTTTTGTTCAAATTAAAGTCGCTTATAATTATTGAATATTTATAGAGGTTTGCTTTGGTCAGTATGTTTTCTTCTAAGTTGGAGTGTGGGTGTATGTATGTCAGAAATATGTGTATCAGGTCATTTAGGTAGGGTATCGTAAAATGTATGCAGTCGTCCAAAGAGTGGTTGAGGGAAGGAGGATTTGCTCTTCCAAGTTTAAGTTTTGGTTTTAGGAGAACTGCGGCCCCGCCCCTGGCATGATTAATTGTAT